GAGTTTAAAGATTAGGAAAGAGACTTAGGGTGTATGATTCACCACTAAGCACATTCCCTAACTCTCTACTTTCAACTAATTGGAGGAAAAATCAATTGTAATTCTAAATGAGGTTAATAATTGCAATGAAAAGTATAAACCATCAATTTTAAGAATGAATCAACTACTTAATGACAATTAAATTAAGTGTCATTCACCAATTCAAAGCATGATTCATCAATTCAAGTTACAATTTCAACACACATTAATCTAGAGGATAATGCAATTGTGATAATAAACATGAATTCCAAACACTAATATGGATTGTCTACTTACCTAGGAATTAAATTGCAATTAAATTAATTAACCTTAAATTAAACTAACTAAGTATGCAATTAAACTAATTAGACAAGAAATTAACTAATTGTGTAGGGCAATCCATCTAGTATAAGCAATATTCATCAAATTGAATCACAATTACAACTAATTATCACCATGCATAGACATCACAAGAATCAATTAACAAGATTTTAAGTGTAAAAGTTGATTACCAAGCAAACACATATAAGACAACATGATATTAACATTGATAAACAATTGGAAGAATTTATTCACAAACATTCAAGCCTAGACACTAATTACATAAATTAAACCCCAAAAAGAGAAAAGTTAGGAATTAGGTTACATGCTTAGGGTATATCCATGATTGATGGATTCGAAGATAGAACAATCTCCTTCATCGGCTTCATCATCTCTGAGCTTCTTCTTCCAAACCCTAGCCTGTTCTTCAGTTTCTCCTCCTTTCTATGATTTCCAGAGAGAGCGTAATATCACGATACATAAAAATAAAAATTTAATAAAAATATAATAATCTAAACTAATGGACTTATTTTCCCTTTAATACAAAACCTAATAATAATAATAATAAAATATAATAATAAAAACTTAAAATAATGAAAACTAAACATAAAAATAATGGGCTTATTTTCCCTTTAATACAAAACCTAATAAAGCCCAAAGGTTACAAAAATCAGCCCAAAAAAATAAAATCCATAGCCATAAAAACAAGTCAAACCCGTAACTAAAATTACTGCCAGAAGCTTGGTGTCCAGACGCGATGCTGCTGCATTTTTCTGCTTCCTTCTGAATCTTGTCCCGATGTTTTGGCTTGACTCCAAAATGGTCATAATGGACCGCTGTAAGCCTATTTTAGCTTTATTGTCCTGAAATAAACATAAACATAAATTAGGACTAAAACATGAAAGTAAGATAGATGTAAGGACTGAAATACCCTAACTTAGGTACTGAAATGTACAACATTTGGGCACTTATCAGGATCCATAGGGATCACACTACTAGCATACTTGGATTTTCTCTAAAGGTTTATATTAATTAAGTATATGAAAAAAATTTAAGAGTGACCAAGCGTAGTAAGCCTATTGACATAAAATACCTTTTTTCATGTGTGAAAAAGTTAAGGAATGTGTTATAGAGGTTCCCAGATAGAGTAAAAAATTTGATTGTAGATCTTCTTACTAAAGGTCTTCAGCCGAAGATAATAAAGTATTTATAAAACACGTGATTCAGATAGGTATTCGAGAGTCATTATGTTACGATGTCCGGTATTTCTTTTATATATGCTACATTACAGTTAGTTTTTTTACGTCTTGTGGTGACAGTTATTTTTCCTCTGGTTTACGCTTTATGGTGACAGTTATTTGCATCCAAAATAAAGTTATGATGCATCATTATTATTATCATGGTATATATGGTTTATGCACGTGCTATTATGTTTGTCTGGGAGTGGTATTTCACTTATGAGATTATTTGAGCTAGATATGAGATTGACACCATATCGGTAAATCTAAATATAAGATTTGTCTGGGAGTGGTAATATACTTATGAGGTTGTTTGGACTAGATGTGAGATTGACATCACATTGGTAAATCCAAACATAAATATTAAAGTTTGAATGTGGGAGTTTTTTCACATTTCCTGAGGATAGCTTGGGCTAGATATGGGATTGGTTCTATATCGGTAAACCCTCACACTGAACAGAAGGTTGACGGTTTGCTGTAATATGTTTAGGTAACATACCGCGATGGTATGAAGCAGGATAGATAATGAGGTGTGCATTTAGACCACATGTAGTTTGCACATCTCATGAAATACAGTAAAAATCGCTATATTTTCTTAAATTCTAGATGGAATCGGTTTTGAGATCATGGAACTGTTTAGATTAATATATTACTTGTCTACGCATTCATGATCCGCTATTGAGGAAGTCTATGGAGGAAAGTGTTCTAAAGTATCAATCCATCTATTTCGATAATTGTATATTTATAAAACAAATTGAGTGGCCACTCGTCTTTTCTAAAGTGTGTTGCAATCCATAGTATTATTTTATAAAACTAAGAGTGCATGGACCAATTGGGAGATTGTTGAAAATTTTATATATAAATAATAAAAATTGTTTTATGGTCCTATACACTACGTTTTCTAAAATAGGATTGCAATGTAATTATTGATATTTGATGGATTGGGTTATACTTTCCAATTTGGTAGTCTAATTGGGAATATGGTTTAATACCGTTGGATTGTGGTTTTTCAACTTATTTGGTGTGATTTAATTCTAACCGTTAATATCTAAGTTTCTATGATAGGAAATGAGACTCAGGTATGCTTGTTTGTAGAGAAGTCGTCTCCCCTTGTTGTTGTTCTATATAAGGGTTTTAAAACCCTTATCCAGACATATCGTATCGACAACTCTTAGAGGGGAGTAAAGCATTCTAATTTTTCAGATCTTTTAAAGGACATTAAGGAATTTTCAATGGTATCTGAAATTTAATCTTCTAATCAGGTATAATATCAAAATATCTCTTTAATTTATGATTAATTTTTATTTTTACATATTATTTATTTAATTTAAACCCAACACGACAACCATATGACTTTAAATAGCTGTAATAATTTAATTAATTTACAATCAAATATGTTTCTAAATAAGTATGATGATATTGTCAAAAAATAAAGAATCGGACCCTAAATACTGGCAACCCGGGCCACCCTATTGGCGTAGAATCAAATTCCGTTTTCCTAACCCCCACTTGATGATTGATGAATGATGAATCAATGGTATAACATGGTAACATGTCCTGTACTACACGAAAGGACCTGTCAAACATTGTCAATGGTGGGGGTATGTGGCCCTAGTTTTTGCACAGGAGGTACATCAGCACCCTAGAAATTGAACTTGATGCCCTCCACCTTGATTTGGGATCCTCAAACTTGATTGGTCACAATCAACCTACTCTGAGGAGAATAACAACAACAAACTAGTCACCCTCACATGCTTTGTCTTTCTAGTGATTTAGACACTAACCATCTCCATAAAACTTCTCCTCTACCTATGCCATAAGTAAATTAATAATGGTGTGTCTGATGCTGATAGGAGATAATGACTGATTGTCATTGTTTTTTTATTTTACAAATATTTGCCGAGGGTTTTAGTTGACAGCAACCTTTGACACAAATTAAAAAAATTGATTGATTAGAAAAAGTTGAAAGCAACATTTGGAGACACATTACATTGATTGATTTAGAAAATGTTGTCCTCTAAACAATGAATCTAAACACTAAATATATAATAGGAAGAAAAGTAGAAGTGAAGGTAAAGATGAGAATTTAACAAAACTTTTACTATTTTTGTGAGTACAAATTGATTGCACATCTGCACCTGTGGTCTTCCATTATGAGAATACGACCCATGTGAATGGACATCTCAATTAAAAAGAAAATGAAAACAACACCAATTTTATCCTCATATAAGGGAAACCATATTGGCATTTAGAAAGAAGGTAAAGTACTCCACTACTTATTGTGATGTACTTTTGTCATTATATATACTCAATCTCGTTGAAAAATTGTTATTTTTTTCTTATCTTGCGTATCTGTGAACCATTATGTACAATAGTGATGTTTTATGTATATATACATTTAATATCTATATATATTTAAGTGTATATATATATGTGTGTGTGTGTGTCTCATTCATATATCAACGTCACAACACGTTTTATGTTTATGCATATATAGTAGTATTTGAAAATGGAGGGTGCGTGTTTGAAAGCAGAGGATTGCAAGGGTTGAAAATGAAAGATCCGGACGTTTTATGGGTGGTAGACACGCCACTTGCCTCATTATGTCACCGTCTAAAAAGAAATTTCACCATCACCTCTTTCTCTCTCTCAATTAATCTAGATAAATAACGTAGTATATGCTTAATGCTTGTACGGCAGTTTCAAAAATCACGACCGTTCCTAAGGGATAGGCCAAATATGCGGTTTCACACCACTTTTATTGGAGTAATGCTAAATACAGTCATCATCGTACAAGTATAAAGTTTAAATTTGTAGGTATAATGTTGTAATTGTACTTAACACAACTCTTATCTGAACGGTAAAATATCACGAGTTTGAATATAGAAATCTTCACATATTTAATATTTACTTATTTTTTTCATTTTAAATGACATACAAATTGTGTTACAAAGGAGCTTATCTTTTTATTTATTTTATTTATTTATTTATTTTTTTTTTCATATTGAAATTTCAATTTGTATGTGGTGGCAGGGTGGAGGTTAACAAGACAAGAAGTCTAAATAGTTGAAGAGAGATTTTTGGCTGGAAAGGATCGATGCTAGGGTTTTATATATTATTGTTATTTATAATTTTAATACTCCTTTCATCTTAAAATAAGTGTCACACTTTGAGAGTTCAGTTTTTTTAAAGGGGTGAATCTAATGCAATCTCATCTTGAAATTAAAACTAACCTCAACAAATGTTAATATATTTATTTAATTTATTGATGTGAACAAAATTCAAAATCTAAACCCCCAGGGGGTTAGCAGAGTTGGTGGGAGGGGGGACCTCTAAGTGCTAGACCACCAAATTTAGTACTTGGCTGTGGGTTTGATTCTCTTCCAACGCTGCAAGTTCCTGACTTACTTGTTACTTGCACCATGGGATTGGGGTGGGTAGCCGGGGTTTTACCCAATACCTACAAGTCCAAAGGGCGGATAGTTGCATGGGTAGCCTGTGTTTACCCAGTTCGGTAGTTACAAGTCAAAAGGGTGGGTAATTATGAAGGTTCCACGTCATTAAAAAAAAAAAACAAAAAAAAACACAGAGGATAGTTTGAAAAAATTTAATTTTGAAACATTCATACACTTATGTTGAGTAGTTCTGTGTCTCCATCCATTTTACTTCGGGCCTGGCCGAAATGTGGGCCTAAAATAATTCAGTCGCTGCATGGTCCATCCAAAGCTGAATGATACTTAGCCCAGCAATTCGTAGGTCATTTTTCTTTTTCTCTCTTTTTTTTTTTTTTTTTTTTTCTTACTCCACTCTCACTCCCTCACTCTTATAAGAAGCTTCTCCAACGTTGGCTATCAATTTTCCACATTGCAGGGTCTGAAAGGAAATGATGCGGCTATGATTAAATGCAGTAATACCCAGGAAAGTTTTCATGCGTCTGCGATTATGTTGCAATCTTCTTTGTTTTTTTGTGATTTTTTCTATGTGATTCTTGCTATTATTAATGGACAAGCACATTATTGGAATTTGAATTGAGGAATCTTTCTAATTGGATGTTTGGAAAATATATAATATATGCGCGTGTGGGTATATATATTGTGTTGTTAGGTTTTCTTGATTGAATCTGAATAAATCTTGACCCAAGTTCAAAGCTTTTCCCGTATTACATTACTTAACTTTCATAGTTGATACTTAATTGAGTTGTTAATTAGTTTAGCTAGCTTGTTTGAGTTCAAGAGCTTGTCGTAACATTGTTTTTTATTTTTTTATTTATTTTTATTTATATATAATATTTTTTTATGACTTTCTAATACTTCAAATTTTACAACACACACACACACACACACACAGCTTTACTAAAGCAAATTAGTGATTCGTTTACCAAAAAAAAAAAAAAATTTGGTGATTACAACTACTACTCTTAGGCTTTATATAATTTGTTAATCTATTCATTGATACCCTTTCTTTTTTGCAGGGTTATGGTACCTAGTTTGGTCAAGTTTGGGTTGTCGAACAGATTGAAGTTTAAAACTAATGATTGAGCATGATTTGTTAATCAAGTAGTCTTTGAGGCTTGTATGCTTGTATTTGAGTAAGCGAATGAAATCCAGAGCTACAAATAAGCTGTTTTTTTTTTTTTTTTGACAGCCCTGAATTTGGGGGTGTTAATAGGACTGTATTTGTGAAATTCTTTGTATGGTTTCAATCGATATCATTAATTTTATGATTATGACCATAGTGAAGGACCGGCGGTTTATTCTTATTAACTATATGGCTGTGATCCGGAATTTTTATGGCTATAATACTGGAATTTTTAACTGATGAATCACAATAATCAATAGTCACATATAAAGCATAGATAAAGGCAGAGGATGAACACAATATACGTGACTTTGTTTATGTATGTTGATATGTATAACATAATTACGGTGACTCATATCCTGCTCCAATGCTTCTTCCAATAAAACCTTGCTATATTATATTTTTGGAATATGATCCAACTTTTAAATACCGATATATAAACATTTCATTTGAGTTCTGTTTACAATTGAACTATTTTTTTATTTTTTATTTTTATTTTTATTTTTATTTTTTTCTTTTCCCAGTTGGTACTCACACACATATATCTCTTCTGAGACTTGAATCCCTGACCTCCCTTTGGGAAGAAAGAGCCTGATATCACTAGGCCACATGCCCGTTGGTCAATTGAATTATTTTTCATACTAGAAGAAAGTCATATTCAATGGCGAAGATTCATTGTTCATATATTTATGAGTTTTCAAGAGGTGTTGGCTGTGTGTTTCAAATTAGGGGTTTTCGTTTTTGAACTATGGAAATTGGTCAGCTGCATAATTGGAGTTCAACATGTTTTTGACATGGACAAAGCTCCTTGAAAATCAACATGCTCCTTAGGTAGCATGTTTATTGAGTAGGAATTAAACACAATTGTTGAATTTATTCAATGCAATATGCCCTTGCATTTTTTCTATTGCCATGTAGTATGTTTGAAATTGTTGGAAATTATTTATTTTACTGTATAGTTTTCCAATTAAACGAAGTCTGAGCACAAAATCTCGTGTCACCAAGTTTGCTTTCTCAAAAACTTGTTATTGATTCAATTAATTATGATATCTCAAATATCTATAAAAATCTACGGATATGTCTTAATATTCCTTGCCGCATTTGGAACAAGTGTAGTGGAATTCGAACTCACTTTAACCATTTAACTGCAGGTTAGCAGTCTGTACTGGCTGGAAACATTTAGTGCTAGAACACCAGCTGAGCTGGTGTAGTATGTGATTAGCTCTAAACTACGCTCCTGACAACACGACTCTGTATTATATGTGTATCAGTTTTTGATTTTCTTTATTTATTTATTATTTTGATTTCTATCATAACTTTTCTGTTTGCCTTTGCCCATATGCAGCTTGGGGTTGAAAAGAAGGAGCTTACAGGTTCAAGGTATAAGGTGGCAGGCCAGTGAATTAAGTTTCCCCCTTTACATCTTCTAGCTGTTGGGTATCTTAAGTTCTTTATTCCAAGTGCTATGGGCTTGTGGCCTTTGTAATTTGGAGGTATGTACTAAAGTCTACAAAGTAAGACCAAGTATCATAATTTTGAGTTAAAAAGATGGTTGATGGCCTCAACTACAATTTATTTCCACAAATCTGGAACATCAGTTCCAAAATCGTAAATGAAAAAATGTATTAAAATAAACCAGTACCAAATTCAAAATAGAAGAGGAAAAGAAAAAGAAGAGACGTCTAAACTAAACCCTAATAATGTAAGCTCGCATAACTCCTGCATCTTAATAACATGTTGCATGTCAAATCTTGGGATTTGGAAGCATCCTCTTCGCACTTTTGACATACCTTATACTGACATTGTATTTCTATAACAATCAGATATATTGGTATGCAGCCATTGGCTAGAATTCTTCTGTGATGGGAATGCTTGGGTAATAGCTAGCAAAATGATTGCTTATTAGTTTAATTTAATCCAAAATATAGATAGATTTTTTTTGAGCGTATTGGATGAAAGCATTTCTTACAGACTCCATATCAACATTATATATGCTCAGAATAGAGACCTAGCTCTAGTTAAGAAGTTGATACCAGTAAAGGGAGATTCAGGAAGCTTTTAGGCCACTCTTGAATGGCTGAACTAGAAATGCAATGGTTTGTTAAGAAAAGAAAACTCAGAAGCTGGAAACTATTTTGGAACTTAAAAGTCTTGCTATTATCGGTATATGTTAGCTTTGAAAACTTTCCAGTACCCCCACAGTGCAACTGTATTGACGGTCCAACACTAAATTGGATTCGGACATTTTACCAACTAGACATGGGATTGAATCTGAATACACATGCCAGACAATCTCACATTCTTAATTCTTCAGCTATAAAATAGAACCTATATGTATGTGTCTTAACTAGGCTTCTCCACCTTGTGAATGGTTTATGGGCCATATGGAGAAGATTGTTAATTGGCCAAGACACCATCAAATCAACAATGACATTTTTGTGATAATTTTAAAAAACATGTACAATAAATGCTTAGTGTATTTATATCAATCAGCCAGCTATGCATGACATTATGTATACTTTGCTACACATGATCTAAAATTTCTATGCATTCCTCGTGTGTTTGTATATATAATGTCTCCTTAACTGTTGAGTCATCAGTTTAACATCTGTTGCTCTCATATTTATGTAATTGAGACCCTGTGATGTGGATTAGTTATTATCTCTCAGTTGATCCACTGGGTTAGAGCTGTTGGCTGTTTGGTTAGTATTATTTGTATTGTATGGCCTATTTAACCCTAAATCAGTTAAATCCTATATTGCTGTTAGACGAAACTTAACAAGCCAAGTTGAGGATGCCCAAACCTGAATAGAATTGTTTTTAACAGTTTGTCACTGGTGTTTTTATTTTTTATTATTATTTAAATTTTTTATCTCCAGAGCCTCGAAGGATAGATCTTTCTTTTTCTTTTCAGGGTCTGGAATGGCAGTGCTTTGATTCAGGTAATTGCTGGTTTTTGATGCTCAAATCAAGCTGGAATTTGAGGGTTGGCCGACCTAAAATATTAGGTCACAAGCAAGCAGCACATGTGTCCTTGAATGTCATAAATGATTTATTTGCCACTGAACAGTGATGGAGAATAGTTAATGACTATTTGGTATGAAGATCTGTGCACTTCTATCTAGATCTTCCCACGAACACCGTAGGAACTTTGTACATTAATGATCGATTATGTATAATGCATGCAAATATTGTATCTGATCTATTTATATAAATGATAATCTCTCTCTCCATCAATTGTACCATCATGTGTATATTGCACATATGATATATAGTTGATGAAAGTGAAAGTAATCACCAGATAAAATATACAGATGAGCTGATTAATGGTGTGTCATGGCCAGGTTTGGTGATCACATGGGAGGTTATATTATTAGGACATGTACTTTGACATGCTTGGTTGCTAGGGTGCATCACCATCCGACCCCATAAAACTGCAAGCCCCATATGTTCCTTAACTTGATTTTTTTTCAGATAGTGACTTGTTTATTGCCATGAATTTCAATTTTAGGCGCATTAATTCTCCATATCTTTCTGTAAATAGTAGTTCGATGGCTGGTGATGCATGCATGGTGCTTATGGTCAGGTCATTATGACATTAATCTGTTCGTTTACTGTTTAGTTAGGCCTGTTTAATGTCGATTCAAGGGCCAAACTATTTACTTGAACAGATTGGACAGATCTAAATCTGAATTTTCCACATCTAGATCATGGAGGAATTTGCCATGCTCTTGTGCTTTTGGATGCTCACTGGATGTGAAATAATGATGTGAAGGTATGAGTGAAATGGTCAACTTGGCTCGCATATATGGGGCCATGATATCAGGATTCATCATATTTTTTTTTAACTCAAATTCGTAAGTAGATTCTGAATTATAGGATATGATGCTACACACACACACACACACACACACACATACATATTGTGCTACATATTGTACGGCTCATGCGAATAGCAACTTGTGGTACTCCTCCATTGATCTGGCCTCTCCAGCTTGTTAGACCCATTTCAGCTCATGACTAAGTCTCGTATCATGAGAACTTTTGAGCCAGCCACTTTTTAGATCTGTACTTAATTCGTCTATCCCTCACACGGTGGGTAAACCTAGTTTATTGTAAACAAAAAAACACTTTCTTTGTAAATGCTGGATGCTTCTGATGAATTGTTAGGGATGGCCGGTCCTGTTTAAGTTATTCCATCCCATTTAAATTTTAACTCAATATATTATTTTCCTAAATCTTTCACTCAAATCTTAAAAACTCATATAAATATTGTTTCAAATTTTACGTAAATTGTACTAAATTAACCACATAATCATTAACTAACAAAAGTGTAATTTTGTATATATAACATAAACGTATAAGGGTAATTTTGCCCTACTATAAATAACACTCCCGTAGGCTTTTGGGGGGAAAAAAAACAAACTATCAACGGGTTTAATCAATTACGTAGTATTATTATTAACTCAAAATAGCCTTGTTAAAAAATAATAATAAATAAATAAATAAATAAATAAACTCAAAAGATGAAAAGAAAATTGAACTTCCAACTTGGTCGCGATGTACAAAATGACAGATGGGTCCCGGCCAGGCTCCAAGTCACCACCGGGCAGTCCACCAAGTGTTTTCTGTGTGGTGTCAGTATCTGTAATGGCTGTCACTTCTGATTTTTACCCTCGCAGTCAGAATGAGATACGAAGATAAATATGTGAGCCCTACCACTTGTGGATACTTTATTGGTTAAAGCTAGAAAACCTGAACCGTGTACTTTGACATTTTTATTTCAACCCACATATTTTCTCAAGTTGACTAGACTTGACCACATATGATCATCATTTTTTTTTAATGGACTTCGGATCCTATGAAACTTTTATTTTCAGACATGTACCTTCCAATTGCCTTCTCTTCTTTTCACTATTGGTAGCTTACGGATGCATACTCTCTCTCTCTCTGTCTCTCTCTCTCTCACACACACACACACACAGGCCCATCATGCTTTGACTTTAAATTTCCTCAGCAAACCCCCTTTCCCAACTTCCATCTGGATTCTATTTCTATTCTTGACTTTAAATTTCCTCAGCAAACCTCCTTTCCCAATTTCCATCTGGATTCTATTTCTATTCTCTCCAGTTTAAGAATCAGATAGATTTTAATCGATAGCATTCAAACTCTGTCATGGTTTCTTTTCTTTCTTTCTTTCTTACACATAATGCTGAGTAAGTTCCATTACTGAAGTCTCAGTCCAACCCATTGCTTCTCTGGCCAAAATTTCCATTTGTGCTTCCACTGATTTCTCGGGTGTTTGGGTTCCTGGAAAAGAAATGGCACGTCCAAGTTCAGTTGTAGTCACAATTGAGAAATCTCTAGTGGAGATCAGTGGTTCACATTCATCTGCTTTTCCTGACAAACAAAAAGCTGCAAGTCCCAAGCAATTTACATGGATTCTTCTCCTAAAAGCACACAGAGTTCTCAATTGCATTCCTTGGCTGGCAATGGGCTTATGTTCTGTGTTTGCTTCAGTTAAGAAACGAATTGCTCTGTTCCAAATGAGCAAAGAAGAGCCCAAAAGTAAAGGGAAGTTGTATAAAATTCTCAGGGCATGTCTTGCTATTTCAATTGTATCTTTAGTCCTTGAAGTTTTTGGCCATTTTAAGGAATGGAATTTGAATCTGATTCATCCTTTGGAGGTTGAGGATCTTTTGCAATGGTCTTACATGGCTTGGCTGTCTTTCAGAGTTCATTATGTTGCTCCTTTGGTTATAATGCTTTCTAAGTTCTGCATTGTGCTTTTCATGATTCAATCACTCGATCGGCTAGTGCTGTGTATTGGGTGTTTCTGGATTAAGTACAAGAAATTGAAGCCAAGGATAGAAGGAGAAGCATATGACATCGAAGAGGATGGTTCGAGTTTCCCTATGGTCCTTGTACAGATTCCCATGTGCAATGAAAGAGAGGTAATAGAACAAAATCAACACTGCTCTCTCCTTGATTGGTTTTTCCTGAACTCTTTTACTACATCTGAAAGAAGTAGAATTATTACTTATATATAACAAGCTCTTTTTGGCCTTTTGCTATTGTGAGGTTTTGTCATATGTAAAAATGTGATAATGAAAGTGAAATTGAAAACTACTCTGTTTCATGTTTCCTAGTCTTAATTTATTGTGCAAAACAGGGTTTTTTTTGAGTAAAATCATTACATTTGTTTTTGACCAAAGAAGGATAGGTTCATAGTCCATTGATTTCATTTTCTTTATTCTACATAGTTGTATTTAGCTGGTGATTGTGCAGGACTTTCTGCTACAGATACTTGTTTAATAATCATCAAATTGAAAACTACTCTGTTTTAACTACAGATATTTGTTTAATAATCATCAAATTGAAAACTACTCTGTTTTTACTACAGATGTTTGTTTGGGTGCGTATTGGATTTTAAGGTCGATTTTTGTTATTCTATCTGATGTGACAAATTTCATGAATAAAGGTATATGCACAATCAATATCTGCCACCAGCCAGCTAGATTGGCCAATGGACCGGCTTCTAATTCAAGTCCTAGATGATTCAGATGATGAAGATGTACAGCTTCTGATACGAAATGAGGTATCCTCATGGAAACAGAAAGGAGTGAACATAATCTACAGACATCGACTCATTAGAACGGGTTATAAAGCTGGCAATCTTAAATCAGCAATGGCCTGCAACTATGTTAAGGACTACGAGTTTGTTGCAATATTTGATGCAGACTTCCAGCCCAATCCTGATTTCCTTAAACAGACAATACCTAACTTTAAGGTAGGAGACTCTAGCCAATTGAAAAATGTACCTCAATCCTATCAATTGACAACCTTAATGGTTATTGTGATTTGTGTCAGGGAAATCCCGAGTTAGGCCTTGTCCAGGCTCGATGGTCATTTGTGAACAAGGACGAAAACTTACTCACGAGGCTTCAAAACATCAACCTCTGCTTTCATTTTGAGGTGGAGCAGCAAGTCAATGGTATGTTTCTCAATTTCTTCGGGTTCAATGGAACTGCAGGTGTCTGGAGGATTAAGGCTTTGGAGGAGTCCGGAGGTTGGCTTGAAAGAACAACAGTAGAGGACATGGACATTGCAGTTCGAGCCCATCTCAACGGGTGGAAATTCATCTTCCTTAATGATGTCAGAGTGCTCTGTGAATTACCAGAGTCCTATGAAGCATACAAAAAGCAACAGCACCGTTGGCATTCAGGTCCAATGCAGCTCTTCAGATTATGCCTTCGCGCCATCATAACTTCCGAGGTTTTCTCAATTTGCACACGTCTGTCTAGTATTTTAAATTTCTGTAGCTTGAAAATGTAAACTAATTTATTCAAATCTCAATTTACTTTGTTGCAGATATCCATATGGAAGAAGGCCAACTTGATATTTCTCTTCTTTCTCCTACGGAAACTGATACTCCCCTTTTACTCATTTACGCTATTTTGTATCATACTTCCTTTAACTATGTTCATACCTGAGGCTGAATTACCTATTTGGGTAATCTGTTATGTCCCCGTTTTGATGTCTCTTTTCAACATTCTGCCGACTCCAAAATCTTTCCCATTCTTGATGCCATACCTACTGTTCGAAAACACAATGTCCGTGACAAAGTTCAATGCCATGGTGTCAGGACTGTTTCAGTTGGGAAGTGCTTACGAATGGATTGTGACTAAGAAAACTGGCAGGTCGTCTGAGTCTGATTTATTAGCGCTCGCTGACAAGGAATCGGAATTTTTGAGTCAAGATAAAATTCATAGAAGGCTTTCTGAATCCGGGCTAGAAATGTTGAGCAAACTAAGGGAAGAACAAGTCCCTCTCGTTAAGAAGAGAAACACACTCTACAGGAAGGAACTTGCACTTGCTTTTCTTCTACTCACTGCATCTGCAAGAAGCCTTTTATCAGCACACGGAGTTCATTTCTATTTCTTGCTATTCCAAGGGCTGTCTTTCCTTGTCGTTGGCTTGGACTTGATTGGTGAACAGATCAGCTGAAACAGAACATGTAAAATATCCGAATTCAAGCACTAGCTTTTAGCAACTTATACTGCAATTGAAGAATTGACTCCCGATTATTATAGCATTATAAATTTGGGTTTGAAACAAGATTTCATCATAGATTAGGAATATTTGCTGTTGGAACTAGCAGGTAAAGATAACATAGAGTTGCTTTTTTTTTCTACAATTGTATGTGCTACCAGTATTTTAATATAGAAGAAGCAATTCAAAAATCTTTTTTCTATTTTGGAATGAAATGAAATGTTCAAATTATGAATGAAATTATATTTGTGCTTTTAAAATTGGGACTCATAGCTTCTTAATTGAATAAGAATGATTTGGATGTGAAAAAAGAAAAGAAAAGAAAAACTGAAAATTGAATACTCTCTCATATATATATATATATATATATATATATATATATATTTTCCCCTTTAAGTGGAGATAAAATAAAACAAACAAGAATATTATTTATTAGTTTTTTTTATTATTATAATTATTATTATTATTTTTCATATGATGAAGTCAAAAGGCCGATTTGTGTAAGAGTCTAAAAACCTTGAATAGGCAGCCACATGTTGTTTAGAAATTAGCATAATTTAAGGATCTACATTCGCACTAATAACCAAATTGTTAAAACTGTTTTTAGGTAAGGGTCTAAAATTAATTCTAGAAATAAACATACTAAAAATAAAGCTTGTAATGTAGTCTCTGTGTACACATTTCTTCTATATATACCTCAGTTTGATGGTTTCTAATTCCACACCTGACACAGAGCCATTTTCATCCATTTTTGGTTAGGTGCTTCCTTCAACGATTGACAATGGCACCGAAAACTCTTATCGTTTTCTTTGCCTGCTCTCTTCTAATCACTGCAACGGTATGTCTCTTTTAATTGCTTCAGCAAAAACACACCAACAATCAAATCTGCGGCCTCTTGATTAATTGATATGTTGGAACCAAGTTACACATATATGCAGGACATATATATGTGCTGAAGGAACAAATTCCCTTTCCTTCTAATTACATCAAATTTTCATCGTAGTATTGAAACTCATCAATATATGTTTTTCTTTGCAGGTTGCGGAGGAATTCAACCAAGTGGTAATTAATTTTATAAAAAATAAAAATACAAGTGTTATTTCAATTTTTTAGCGAATGCCTCTATTCATTTAATATATACTGTAATTAATTTGCAAGAAACAATAGATGGCAATGCATGCATGCACGAACGCTATCATTTCCAAATGATGTTAGCTGACTTAGAACGTGTCTAAGGCTGAAAAGGCCAAGTCCGTGACCATATATATGACATCGACCAAATTCTGAAATTGAAACTTGTTGGTGGTGAATATTTTTGCAGCATGCACACATTAAAGCCGACGTCTCGGATACATTGAAGGATGCTGCCAAGAAGGCTGGTGATACCATAGGAAAGGCCGCAAAAGACGTCGGAAAGACCGCCAATGACGCTGGAAAGAAGGCTGCAACTGACACCGGAAAGAAGGCTGTTGATACCGTAGGAAAGACGGCTAAAGATGCCGGAAAGGCGGCAACTGATGCCGGAAAGACGGCAACTGACGCCGGAAAGAAGGCCGCTGAATCCGTAGGAAAGACGGCAAAAGACGCCGGAAAGACGGCAACCATGGTTGGAACTACGGCAGGTAAAGTTGTAGGAAACACCGTAACTGAAACCGCAAAGACGGCAACTACGGCTGGAAAGGTTGTTGCTGGAGGAGCCCAAGACGCTGGAAAGAAAGCTGCCCATCATGCCCATCATCATGGAAAGAAAGCTGCCCATCATGCCCATCATCATGGAAAGAAGGCTGCTAAACATACCACTGATGCCGCAAAGAAGGTTGGCGACCAAGCTGGAAAGACGACCGACGCCATTAAAAAGTCGTTTAATTAAGCTGGTGATCCAAGCGGTCTGCCCCAGCTGATATTGGAGATTAAAAGGCCTATGGGGTATTCTTTAATTTTACTAATTCAACATGTTTCACTTTTGTACTAGTTCAGTCATGTATGAGTGGAATAAAACCCCAAGTTTGGAATATGAGAAATAAAAAATGCAATTTTCATTTGAGTCATGTTATTATTTTGTTCGATAAATAAAAACTTAATATTTTATTGAGTATATGTAATTACCTATGTGTTAAATATAACGGGATCCATTTTAAAATAGAAGGTAATTTTTTTTTTCCCTAAAATTTAAGGTAATTGACTATTAAGAAAGTTGTAATATTTTTTCTAAGTTTATCTTAATCTAGTATATTTATTGGAGATTAAAGTTTCAACTACCATGTATATATATATTTGTTTTATATTTCAAATTGCATCTTTGGAAAGACCATTGTGATACTTCATATTGTGTTTTTGATCATTAATATCCATCTACTCCGTATTATTTTGATAGGTATTTGTTAATTGCTATGATGATCAAATCTAATGATCTATCTAACTCTAAAAAACAAAGAGAAGAAGATAAATTTTTTAAAAAAAATTGCAAAAGCATGAAAAAATTATAAAACATTACAGTTTTTGCTTTAGATTTTCAACACACTATTTCTAAATTGTCACACCAGAACGTGATCGCTTCAAACGCTATGATTTTGCCCTAGACATGAATAGTCTTGTTCACCTGTATTAGACTAGAAATGTCTTGGGCTTTTGGGTTCGGCCCTGTGTGTACTTCTGTAACGACCCTAAACTGATACCAATTATAAAAAATAAAAAAAAATCGGCATGACCTCTGCTAAAAAGGGACCTACAACGACCTACTTAAATGAAGAAAAAAAATGCAATGGCCTTTCTTGGCCCTTCAAGACTTATCCAACCTGTCCCAACACACAATACAAATAATACATTCCAGCATTCCCTTCATCTATTCATAATGCTTCAACATAGTTCAGCTCATGGTGGAACAACTACATGCTATTTAATCCAAATATCATAATTATAGTCCCAAAAAAAAACATGGCTAAGATCAAAAAAGTCCATGTCTTGTAACGTTTAAACAACTTATATTAAAATTACATATTAGGCCTGTGGTGGAACGTCATCCGCTACTTCATTCCCGTTTCCTGAAAAATGTTAAAATGAAGGGGTGAGCATGTAATACCCCTAATATTAAAAGGATAGTCCTGGTAAATTAATAAATTATTTAATTGCATTTTTGTTTGTTTACGTGTGTTTTTATTTATTTAATTATTTATTTGCCTGTTGAGTTGAATTAATTAAATGAATTGTGTTATTTGTTTTATTTAATGAAATTATATGTTTAATTTGAGTATTGGTTTAATTGTATATTTTATTTTATTTAAATGAATTAAATGTTTTAATTAATTAACTTTGTTTTATTAATTGGTAGTCAACATAGTTTATACATTAGGTTTTGTTCTATGGGTCGGTTAAGTTTCAGTTTAGGGGTTAATTGGACTTAGGCATTATAGTTGTCTATAAATATATACCATACGTCTGCCTAGGGTTTTAGAACCCTATTCACGGCATAGTGAAGGTAGAGAGACATTTAGAGAAGTCTGGGAGAAAACAGAAAGGGAAAATAGAACGTTCGTCGGAAACCTTAGGAAGATGGCGCTGAGATTTTGAACCGAAATCTCAAAGGGAAGTTTTATTCCTAACTCTCTTCCTTTGGCTCGTGTTCTTTACATGCCTAACTCAATTCCAGGAGTATTTAAACATTAAAATTAATATGGTTTTGCATGTTGGATTTGAGTAAATCAGTACGTGTTCATGAATCGTATATTGCCTGTTTTGAAATTTTCTTGCATGGTTTATGTTTTAATTGATGTTAACTAATGAATAAAGGATTTAATTAGTTCTGGATCACCTTGGGAAAACATTAAACTAAATCTGGTTCGCATAGGTGATCACTTGAACAGTACGTTCATGAATGGATAATTGTTCCGGTTTAAATTCTTTTTGGCATAATTCATGTTTAACTAATGTCGGTGATTGAATAAAGAATTTAATTGCTTTTGGAATATACTGGAATCTAATTTAAACATCTAGAAACCTTAGGTATGGAGGACAGACGTCTGGGAAGTCGCCAAACTCGAAGATGAAGAAGGAACAGGAGGAGAACCGGCTCCTGTTGGAAGGGAGCAAGCTCCCTTAATCAAAAAGCAGGCTCCCTCAAGGAGGGAGCCGGCTCCATGCACTAGGGAGGCGGCTCCCTCGAATTTATTTATTTTTTTTTTTTTTTTCAGCTTTTCGGCGACTGTTTTGGCTACGGCGCTTGGATTTTGGGATTTTCAAATTCTGTTAGGAGTTGTATTGGGGTGTTTGGAGATGTTCTAAGCTTGATTAAAATCTTTGAGAGAAGATTTATGCAAAATAAAACAACTTTGTTTTTAATGCGACAGTAGACAATGTTTAAATAAATCAGTTTACTATTTCTGGATGAAGGGATTTCAAATTACTTAAATTTTGTGATAGCAGTTCTTAGTAATAAAATTCTCAGTTAATTCTGTCCCAGTGTTATAAATTAAGCGTGTGGATTTATATATTCTAGTATGCTTATTTGGAACTAAGTTAGTTTACGGTTTTCTGGGTGGAAAGGATTGCAAGTTGTTTAATTTTAGTATTGCAATTCTCAGTGATGATTTTCAATTAATCACGTTCCAGTATTATAAAAATAAACCTGTGAATTTTTATATTCTGTTACGCTTACTTAGAATTAATTAGTTTACATGTATGGCCTGTAGTATCAATTATTGGACATTGCGGAGTAGTATCGGCTAAGCCTGTTAAATTACAACATTTTATCATGCTTAATATGGAACAACTGATGTTTATACTTAATGTTTTATTATCGATTGTGGAATATATGAATTAGTTGATAGTTACATTTATTATTTATTCTGTCAACTGCTGGATGGATTGGATTGTATGCACCGGTATGGGACGGTGGCATACTAGGGATGGTTTAGCTCAAATTGTTAAATCCTACCTATTTTGCAATAAGGGTACGAATTATAAAAATAGAATTATCCTTATATGTAAGTCTGTGCGGCTGAACAAGCTGAACGACTAACTGGATTTCTTATAAATGGATAGGATCGGACTTTAAATATATTTTTATGGTACCGCGATATGAGCTTGAGCCTTAGAGTCGACGGTTAGGGAGCGTATATGTAGTAGGATGCGTAGCTGGCTATGTTAGTTGAGGTATACCCTGTTAGGCTTAGGTAGTCATGCCCACTCAGGTGCATTTTGCATGTTGCCATCTACTCAGGTTGAGACCCTCATCATAATCTAGTGAGAGTTCCATAGTGTGGATATATATATATATATATATGTATGTACGAACTATATAGTTATTGTTGAGTTGGTTAGGATGTACATGCGTATCGAGTCTCTGTTGGATTGTAATAGGATGGAACTTGTTCGTGAACCTGACCCACTTCTATTTTTCAGGTATTCGCCAGTTCCAGTCCTAGACCTGATCGTGCTGAGCAGCGACTATTACTCACTTTTCCGACGACGTAGGACTTCTCTCCGTGGTTTAATTTTGGATGTTCTTTTAGATATTTACATTTCAGTTTGGATTTTATTATTAGGGGTTCACTGGAGGGATTCTCGAGTTGTTAAACTATTGGAGGTTTTGGATTTTAAGTATTAATGTCTAAAGGATTATATTTTAAAATTCTTTCAGCGATTAATTATTTATTTCTTAATTCATTTTGTAATCTGTGTTCACTTAAAATATTAATTGTTTGATATTTTCCTCGGGTTTGGGCTTGGGCTCAACCCATGTCTCGGATCCGAGGGGTATCACAGAGCGTAAGCTCAGTAAGAAGTGCCTGAGGCACATCTCTTAAGATCACGTGAATCCATACAATGAATAGGAGTAAGGAAATTAGGATCATACCATGCCGGGAAAAAAATATAACCACAATACCACATCATTAATCCGATACCACAAATGAATATGACATGCAATGATATATCATGCCATGCAATGTTACTCCCCATTTTCCAAAACCATTTCCATCATCATTTTCAAATCGTTAGTGAACTCGTCCCATGGCAACTCCATGGCAGCACGAGAGGAGGATTGGCTATTGTCCCTGACCTATGGCAACTCCATGGCATCATTTGGGGCCCAGGTAACTTAACCACACTAGGGCGATCTCCCTAGTCTCTTCTAGGCCTCACTAACGCCGCGGTCTTTAGGCAACTTCTATGCAGCCGGGTTTTTCACAAAATCCTTTTCAAAATTCTTTCCCAAAATCCATTTCATTTCTTTCAGATCAATTTTTCCCATTTCTTTCCCAATGAGTGCATGAGTATTTCATACATTTCAATGCCATGCCAACGTAGAAATTTATTCCTTACAAGTCAAACATTTACACTATACATGCCTCATAGAAAATTCATAAATATATATATATATATATATATCATGCTTCTAAATCACCAAATTCAACACTTAACACACAATAGGCATGGAATTTATCATTTAGGCATGCTTTCTCATACAACCTCAACTAACACATATAAACATATACTTCATTTTGAACAATTAAGTCACGCTAAAGGAAAAAAAAAAAAACAACATAAATTAGCATGCTATGCAACAAATCAAGTAGAAATTCACCAAAGTGCGAGAAATTGTTCATTAAGAACCCTTACCTTAAAAGAGAAGAAAACCCCCAAAATTTGTGCACTAATTTCAAAATCCCTAGAGTTGGCCAAACAAGGAATTGTTTACACCCACGCGTAGATCTCGCCGTGCTCTCCGATTTGCCGCAAATGACATCCAAAATTTCCAAGAGATGAGGAAGTAATCAAGGGTTGAAGTTGTAAAAGAAAAAAAAAAAAAAAAAACAAAGGTAGCGGGAGAGAGAGAATTGGCCGACAGAGAGAAGGTGATCAGCTGAAGATATTGGCTATAAAGCCATTATAAGTGTTATAATGTCCTGCGGGTCCCACCACTTTTTTTTTTAATTTTTTATTTTTATCTATATATATATATATATATATATATATATATATATGCAAAACACAAACATAACAACTTCTTTTGTTTTCGTGATTTGGCAAGTCCATCATTCGTGGACTTGGCCTAAAGGGGAGGCTTGTCTCCATATGTAATACCATTTACTCCATCAAATCATCC